GTTGTACCCCCTCACATATACATGTGGGGAGGGGGGTACAGCCATCACCTTGGTAGTTGTACTCCCTCACAGATACATGTGGGGAGGGGGGTACAGCTTTCACGTGGTGGTTATACCCCCACAGGTAAGTATGGCATGGGGGTACGACATTCACGTGGTCGTTGTACCCTCTCACAGACACATGTGGGGAGGGAGGTACAGCGAAGCCAACAGTTCGTCAGATATACCAAATATTTTGGGTGGAATGCCTTATAGCAATGAAAGGCGGAAACGCTCCTTTTCTACGTACTGGTTTTAACCCGTGCAGGTCAAAAGTAGAGCAACCTCAAAACTCAGTTGTCCTTGTATTTTGTGTGAAATGTTCTGTATGGTTGCTGTGGTCTATACCACAAATCGGGGAATTCGGAGCACTGTGAGGTGAGGTAGTTTCCAAAATTTGCATCTGGGTTTTTGCTGTTTTTGGTGTACACGGAAAACATCAGCCTCCAGGTCAACTCTTTCCTGCCACTCGCACGACCATATAGTTTCTCTATGCACACGACGCTCGTACAGACGGACCGAGACGGACACGGGAGGGTTTGCACAAACCCCCCCCCCCCTGAAGCATCTTCAAAGCAGAAGGCCAGACTTAAACTCACCTTGGCTGAAACTGATGAAAAAAGAAAAAAGAAAAACATGATGTTGATGGCCCACTGAAGTCTGCAGTAGTGTATCTTGAATGCGGTCTCAAGCCGCATGTTTTTCTTTCCAGCTGAAACATCGATGGGAAGTGGTCAGTGCATTTCAAACTCGCTTGTCCGTGCATCGAATAATTGGGAAATGTTTGTCTCGTCTCCTTTTGTTCATGTTTTAAGGGAGACACCCATTTTTGTCCTAAAAAACTATAGGATGTCCCATGGTGCATGGGACATCATCGATTGCATGGAGTTGTGGTCTCTATTGTGTGCAAATTCATACCTCTGACTTTTTGCCACTTTCCCCATATGGTGATTTGGAAAATATTCCCCAAATGGTGTATTATGTACATGGGGAAAATTCAACCATGGTGGGGAACCGACTGGCGCATGGAGTGTCACGATGTTTGATGTAAACAAGTCCGGCGGTAATACATAACTGTTATCAGTTTTGAAAGTTATGCCTAATTTATGAGGTAGGGAATTACACGTATTTACTGGGTGCCTGATTTCGCAGCTCATTTGAGCGTAACATAAGCTGTTTCCAAGATTGCAGAAAAAATTAAAAGTTAAACTTTGTGTCAGCCGAAAAACGGATTATCCGGATTACTTCTGGAGTCCTCCGGATTCCTTTTCTTTTTCTTTAGGATTACCCCGGATTACCCTACAATTTCCCCGGAATACCCCGGATGTTTTCAAATTTCATCGGATTCCACCTGCGGATTACCTAACGGCTGCCAGCCGAATTACCTTAGTCGTTGCCGGAATGAAACAAAGGGAACGGTACTAAAAATTTTCGATATACCAAATTTCAGTTTAGAATTACACTTATTACAGATTCTACAGCACACCGAACTGCTCACGGTATGTATTGTGTTCACGCTAATTTCGGAAAATGTAAATTCGCCGTGGTCTATCCTGTTCATGTTCACCATGAGTGAAAACCCGGTACCTACGGGTATCGTAGCTGTTTCAAACAGGTCCGTAGAGTGTGTGCCTATCAGTTGCACACTCCACACTTGCAACAGTCGACCAAGAGAGGCACACTCTTGTTACAGTCGACTAGGTAGGCACAAACTTACGTGTTTGTGCGTGCCTGCAGGCATGCATGTACATGGTTGACAGTTAATTCTATAGTGTTGAGTTTACCAAACGTCTGGAGAGTTGAATCGAAACATCAGTTCATGAGAATTCTCATGGAAGGTTTCCGTCTCTATTTAACACAATTAATTGGTCATTGATCCATTTCAGAAGGGACCGCGTTTAAAGAAGACTATGAATTCCAATATGTTTTGGAGGTTTCCACAGTACGAAAAAGCTGCCGTGTTGGTGCACGAAGATAAATCATGTCCACCTGCACTCTCCTGACAGCAAAACTGTGACCGCGCGCACATCTGTCAGAAAATCATGATATCGAAACGTATCTGATAAAATAATGGCTTGGTTCGTGCACAGTTTTCCCTTTATTTTGTTTTTCTCTTAAAAAGAGACAACTAATTAAACAGAAATGCCGACGTCTGACTACTCATTAAAATATCGCAAAAATCGTAAAAATTCACTGAAAAATTGTTTTGTGTTAAATTCAGTAGTCGGCAGCTAACCGTCGATGGCTCTGTAATGGATGCAGCACATGTCTTTCAAGAATACTTCCTTATCCGCGGGGGCCACCACTTTGATTTAGGATGTACACAGGAATATGTGATTACAGGGATGACACGAAAATTTCGACGGATTTCTAACAAAATTTGTTGAATATCTGGGGCTAAAACCATATTGAATTTGGATAATTAATTGATATTTAGTCATCATTTTTTCCTAATTTAGTTAAGTATGACACGGATTACATAGAGATTACACTTCCATCTGTACACAGCATTACGCGAGTGGTGTCCCCCTCGTCCTCATCCCTACCCCCCTTATGTCTAAGTATCCAGACACAGCTCGAAGCCCAACGCTGTGGCCGCCACGAGCAGTCCAGCTCCGAGAACGATAAAAGCGGGTTGCACCTCTGTCCACTGCAGGGCACGTACGGAGCGTGCAATTGCAGGCCACCGGTTATCGAAGTCATCCAGGAAACTTTGGAAGGACTGAGGGGTGCCGAAGTGAGCGGCCAGCTTGCGCTGATGGACGACTAGCCATCGGGAGTGGATGCCCGCAGCCCGCAACCTCCCCAGAGTCTTGATGAGATGTCTCTCGAATGGAGAGCCGACAGTCGTCAAGAATCGTGTCTTCTGCAGCGACCCGCTAGTCAGCCGGAAGAGGTGGACCTTGTCCCCGAGGGGGCCCGCTGAGCAAACCTCGTCCTCGCTCATGAGAACGGCCGTGTCGCGGCTCTCCACAACGCGTCGCAGGAGAGAGGACAGCGGTATTTCATTAGTCTGGAAACTAAAAATTGGTTTTTACCGTCGTTGGCTTAGCTTTAAAACTACCACAACGTCGCTGTGGGGGATGATTACGGTATTACAAATAGAGCTCGAAAAGTAAGTATGAAGAACAAAAGCGGATCAAGAGTGGGGGAATGGGCGCAGGTCGTAGGCATAAGCCCGCTGTAGTTTTCTCAAAGCAGGAGATTTGGCTAAAAACTTTGATTTCATAATGTATGGTAGGGAACAAAAAGTCAACAAAAGTGCCAACCACACGGTGAAAGAAAGATTCTTGAATTTCAAGACTCGGACTCTGCTTGGATACCTTTATCGTCCTCCATAAGATCCTGGACCGCGTCTTGCAATGCAAGAATTTTTTTACCGAAAGAGTTCGTGAGCAACGATCCTGAAGAATGTCTACCAACTCACCCACACAGAGAAGGCCCAGTGATTCCTCGGTTTTCTTCCCCGCGGTTATCTTTCGAGACCCATCCCCACCACTCTGGGCAGGCGGACGAGGGCCGGCCAAGCTGTGACAGGTGACGAGACGCTCCGTTGGCCGGTGGCCAGGGGATTAGCGACCGGCGGTCGCTTTGATCGGAACAGGCGAACGGACCAGCTTAGACCTCTCCCCAAGGGCCACTAATCCCCTGCCTGCCGGCCACCGGAGCGCTCGTCACCTGTCACAGCGCCGCCCCGGTGCGGTACCCGGGGCCTACCTGTGTTTCCTCGACTATCTTCCGAGGCGAAGCCCAAAACCAGGAAGATAACCGAGGAATGACTGGAGAAGGCAGTTTAGGGCTACATTCCGTCAAACCACAAACCACTGCAACTCCAAGCAGGATCACCCAGAGATGGTCATTATAGCTCGGATCAGTACTGTTGCTGTCACCAGTGAATATGAGAAAGCGCTGACGCCTGCTGCCAACCTTGAAACTTCGTTGGCCAAATACGCAATGAGACAGATACTTTTACTCAGAAAACCGTTTTATTCCGCGCAACAAAAACGGAAGCCAAGAAAATTTTACTTGCGTCGTAAGACAAATTTTGGTCGCCCTGAACACTTGATTTAGTCATGTTGATAAAGGTGTGATCGACCAGATCATATTATGCGTAGAATTCTTGATCACATGTTCAGTTGGCTCGAGGGAGTAAATTTTCACTGATTCAACACTTTTTTGGTTATTAGGGCAAAACGCTGTTCTCAGTGTATGTTTTGTAGCTTCAAGTGGCCAAAAAGGCGTTCCAAAGGCCAAAACATCAATGTTACCAACATTTTTGATTTCCTCCCATTTTTCCTACGCCTTGGGACGAAATTTCCCACCGTGACTGGTAAAAAATAATAACCACTTCAAAATGAGTTACTTTGCTCACCTGAACCTGCTGTAGTCCCACGAAGCAAGCCCGTCTATAGCTAGGTCTAGGTCGTACCTAGCAACAATCTTCAGATTGCTGGTTTCTAGCTCTTCTAAGCTGTTCATTTCTCTTTCTCGAGCTGTAACCGTGAGCTCGGAACGCAAATGTCCCTGTCGGCGAATAAACATACGCTGAACCAAATTCAGTCGATTTGGTCGGTCCTAGTGGACGTTATGGCTGCTGTCTTCCTTCAAATGTCTAGCTTGCGCTTGCGGCTGTGTTTGGTCTTTCACATTATCATCACAAGCGGTCAACCACCCTAATGCCTTCCCCACTCGTAACAAATTAACATGTCTGCCAAAATGATGTTTACTTCACACTAACCTTAACAACTCTGACACGTACCGTGTATGCGGCACCCAGCACGACGCAGGCCAGTATCCACGTGCCGTACACAAGGCGGTGCTGCCGCCACCTCTGCGGCCCGAGGGTCTGGTTGACTAGAGGCGCCAATGTTTGCAGCACGACGCCGACCCAGTCTGCGCGGAGCTGTCGGCTGAGGCACGACAGGCTGAGGCACACAGTTGCAGCGGCCGACACAGCTGCACACCAGAGTGGCCCGCTAAACGCACAAGTGAGGCTATGAAGAATGCCAAGTTGGGGACCCAGTCCCCTTGGCACGGCGGCGAGCAGCGCCTGAATCAGAAGCAAAGCATAGCTAGTGAACTTGCGCGCCCCACTTCGCAGCGCCGGCGACACCGTTCACAGGAAGAAGCCCGGGCCTCTTCCTGGCTGTTTCCGATCCTAGGCAACAATACTGGGCAACTTACAAACGTCGGTCTTAAATACTTAATGCTAGCAAGAACATTTTTGAACGAAGGAGAGAGTAAGAACGCACCCTATCTCTTAAATCGTCATCAAGAACGATTTATTGATTGAGTTTATTTGAAAATTTTAAAGTTATTTGGACCACAAGACATTATGTGCGCACTTTTTGCTTCTCTGGTTAATGAGACTCAGATAAATTTTCTTACCCGCATTCTCCACGTGAAAATGGACAGCCCTCGGTGCATGAACTGTTGAATTGGGCTGCGAAACAATGTAATGTCTCTCTGGCATTCGAAAATGTCACGAAGTCCATCACTCGTGCCATGAACGTCGCTCGAGTTAATCACTTTCGTATCAAAACAAACACCTATGGCGAAATATGAGACAGAAAACAACCGTTTGTACATGATTAAATGCTTTCCTAACCGACCCAAAATATCGGATCTGGTCACCGAATTTGGTTTTTGTCTCTGAAATAAAAGGTATTCATGAAATATGCGTCATCTCCTATCTGGGTTGGCTCGAACGGTTTGGGAAAAAAGAAATTCTCGAAGCTTTGAGGAAAAAAACAACAAAAAAAACAAAAAAAACAGCGACTCTGGCTGTAAGTGTAGTTGAAACTCTATGAATCTTCACAGTAAGGTAAAAATTTGAAAGAGTTAAAAACTGATTCAAGCAATCTTGCAAGCTTGATTTTCCTTTTTATTTCGAATAAAACAAATTTAGCAGAAACCGTAACTGTAAAAGCAAAATTTTGTGGGTATTTCACTTGACGCAAACTGGATCCAAAAAGAACAGCAATTCTTCCTGAACTCTTTCCTCCCTGACACTGAGTGGCTGACGTCGACGATGTTCTTGAACTGGGCACAAAGGCAGTTGACCCCTGGCTTCCGGTTCGAGAACTTTGTCAGCGTCGGCAAATCAGTGCCAAGGAGGAAAGGGTTCTAATAACCGCTGTTCTTTGGATCCGGTTTGCGTCAGGTGAAATAACCTAGTGTCACCGAACTTGGTTCACAGCGTCCTCGTTAGTCTCGTAACATGTTCTAGATTATCAAAAAGGAAATACTCACTCACTGGTAATTTTATTTACAAAGTATACTTTTGTATTTACAGAGCTTATTTGTAAACTAAATATATTGTTCTGTAAATTTACGAAATATGTGGCTTTGAAACTTTATGAACTTTCTCCGTTGTTCAAAGAGTTGTCTCGTTCTTCTACAGTTTTCCACATAAACTTTCAAATTTGATTATCGGTGTTAACACGGAAAAATTTTACATTGTGAATTATTACAATCATCATTACAGAGCATTGGTGGTCGGCAGCTGGGACTTTACATTTAAAACACTCTGACCGACCGACGTTTGGAACGTGACATAATAATGTCGTGTTGGTCCCGACCGAGCTGTTCTCACAATTGCATGAACTATAATCTTACCAAGTGACTGTTTTATTTCCTCCATTACAAGCTCGCCCGGGTTCGTTGACTTAGAGAATGAACTCAATAATGGACGAAGGGGAGTGTTGTTCTGATATAAGAGGGTGGGAAGGTGTCCAGTTTTAGGAGGAAGCCATGTAGCGCACGGCCTGAAGAAGAAATTGGTCTCATTACATGGCTCTCTAAATCGTCTCTAAATTAAAGCACGCACGGTAGTAGGCATGGCGTGAAATGCCAGTACATTTGTTATAGTGTGTTCCAAGGCCCGAGTTAATGAAGCAAATAATTATTTTTTAGTACCAAATGGGGCTCGATCATATGAAGGGCATTACTACTTAGTAAACGTGCAATCACTTTGAGTCAAACCCTTTTTTTTGCGTGTCCCGCAGACGGCGTCGTTCATCTCACCTGGGCATAACGGCGGTCCGGCGATCCCAGCCCCGCGCAGCTGTCCAGCGGCCTAGTTCTCTCCACGTCACTAGCAAATCACCACAGTTCGACCTCCCTCGTAAATACCTGCCCGCACAGTACGTATTGTTACGGGGTACACTCTAAATGTAACGGAACCGTTTTTGCTGTCAATGGAGCCAAAGGTGCATCAGCTAGACGATCTGTTTTGCTGACTGTAAAAACTATCCTCTTTCCAATATGTTTTTTGACACTCTCTGGAAACTCTCTGGAAACCCAAGTATGTACTTGAATGCAGTATCTCCTGCAGACCTACATGTATGCAAGAGGTCCTTGTGTACTTAGCAAGTATGCCTCAGAAGTCACCGCGTTCTGTGGGGTGAGGGGCGCACTCCCCTATCTTTATTTTATTTTATCGGGTGGGGGGAGTAAGGTTTGGGCATTTACAGGACCGAGCGTACTTTGACTGTTCTGTGAGTTGGGGCTGCACTCCGTTAAAGTCTTTCCCTCACTGCACTTTAAGTTCTGCGTCATGGCCTCTGAAGCCTGTTCCTCTTTGAAGCACATTCTTCCCAAGTTTCAGCATATCGTCGAGGTGGGAGAAAATTAGATCGTGCAAAACCTAAGTCGGAAAGCTCTCTTGGGGATTTGAGAAAAAAAAACACGAGATCGGAGTAAAAAAGGTCGGACAATCTAGCTGTACCGTGGGTGGGTAAGACATAACTATCAAGTTGAGTGTGAGAAGTATTACAATCTACTTTCAATGGGAACAGTAGAGTACGTAGGCGTACAAATAGCTTAACGCACATGCGAGTCGAGCCGTCTCCTACGGTCACAGCAAAACGCACGTCTCGCAGGCAGAACTGTGATGTGGCGTTGGCAATCGCCATGAGAGCTGCTGGTGGAAGCTTGTCCCTGAAACAGGTAGGACGGGCAAACTGACTCGTAACTTTTTTGGAGCACATACACACAGTAATTCATTCCTTGGAACTAGGAAATTTCGTGCTCATTGTTCGTAAGGTCAAAACGTTAATTTAAAGTATATGTTGTCTTAAATGAAACGTCGTACGCCTTGTCTTTAATTGTGAAGTTTACTTTTAATTTATCAATTCTGGGTGCACTCTGTTATAACCGTTCAGGAACTGCGTTGAGACACTGCGCAGCAATTGGCAGCTTACACCGCGCTGCTTAGCAATAACGAAGGTTCTTACGAGATTCTTAGGGTCCTAACTTTGATTCCCTTTAACACACGGGCGTATACAAAAAGTATCACATCTTGAATTTAATTTTCATGCTGCTTTTCTGTATGCAAGATAAATCGAAAAGTTATAGGGTACCCGGCGACTAAAGAAGAAAAGCATTACGAACTGATCTGTTTCGTTCTGAACGCTGATTGGTCAACGATGGTGTGGCGGTTAGAGGGAAACAGGTTTAGCAGTCATGCTTCTCTTCTTTAGGTTTCGGTTGGGTTGCCCTGAATAGATATACTTCTGAAAATTTCAAGGTCGTTTTCTACCTGTAGGAGACAGATCGATTTCGATGAGCATTCTAGCCCCCCCCCCCCTCTCGGGGTAATTTCACGAAGCACTGTTCCCTGTTCCTGGGACGCGCCTGGCACACATGTAGCTAGGCCTCTGGCGCTGACACCCTAAAAGTTCGTTGGTAACTACAAGAACGGAGATTGCAGCCCCCCAAATTAACCATTTCAGTAAAGCTGCCACGATAAAAAAAAAAGAACAGGAAGAAAAACAATGTGGGGATCAAGAAAACGAAAGTCACCGCGTTAAGGCACAGTGATTTCCGTTTGCTTGTTCTCTGCATTCCCCTGCTTCGTTTTTCAGCTTTACCGGAATGGTTTATTGGACGTCCTTGCAGCAAATGTCGAGGACAAATCAACTGAAAATTAGTGAAACGGAACTGGAGATTTTGGGGAATTGAGTCTATTTAAAGTTCTAATTTTGCGAGACTTCTATGCAAAGGCGAGTCTTTTCGTGGCCCCTACACAGTCAAAGTTTGAATGGTTTATCTTGCCCGCATAGAGCGACGTGTGTCTTCACCCACTCTGCGGTGCACGGTAAAAAGAATGTCTTGAAATCCCAGGAAATTTCTGGGATTTCAAGGTCGGGTGGATAATTTCAAGATTGGCCCTTGAAATCCCAGACTCTGTCTTGAAACATGTAGCTTCCAAGGGAAATCCTTGGAATTTTCGTCTGGGATT